TCTCTCTCTCTCTCTCTCTCTCTCTCTCTCTCTACTCTCTCTCTCTCTCTCCCTCTCTCTAACTCTCTCTACTCTCTCTCTCTCTAACTCTCTCTCTCTCTCTATTCTCTCTCTCTCTACTCTCTCTCTCTCTCTATTCTCTCTCTCTCTCTCTAATTCTCTCTCTCTCTCTCTCTCTCTAATTCTCTCTCTCTCTCTCTCTCTCTCTCTCTCTCTCTCTCTCTCTCTCTCTCTCTCTCTCTCTCTCTCTCTCTCTCTCTCTCTCTCTCTCTCTCTCTCTTCCCCTCCCTCCCTCCCTCCCTCCCTTTGTCTGTCTGGGTCTCTGTCTCTGATTCTTAGTTGCTTTAAGCTGTTTCCTATTGTTTAGCTGATCACCTTATTTTCTTTTCTGAGAATTGTATATCTGTTGCTTCAGCCACTGCCATCTTTAAGGCAACAATTTTCCTTTTTGCATTTATGGGACTTATTGCTTAGCCTTTGAGCTGCTTATTGCAACATTTATCATTCTACACAATAACATTTTTCAACAGTTGATTTGCTTGCCACCAGTAATTCTGTCAAGCTGTATTACCATATTTTTGTAGGTTTCACTTAAACATTTCTCCAGAAGTTTTAGATTCTTTAGATATTCATATTTGAAAAAAAAAAATTATAGTCTTTCCCTTATTCTCTTGATTAGCTAATTGTACAGATATTTCTCAGGTCTTAAAAGGTTTCATATTTTATTTCTCAATGTGATGCTGGTATCAATATTTAAATATCAGTATGTAATGGACACCCAAAAGAGATAATTATAGTATCTGTTAACATAACATTTCATAGTTATATGCATGAAGACAAAAATACTTACATATTTGACTATCTATTTGTCTGGTAGGTAATCTTTGTTTGTTTGCTTGATTCCCTCCTATCAATAAGAACAAAATGGATCATTAATTTAATTACTTAGTATCTGATTTTATTTTATTTTATTTATTATTTTCTATCCCTGTCTTTTTATTATCCCCATTTACATGTAACTACAATATACAAGAATATTCCCTTATACATATGCATCCAATATCAAATGCTTCTCTTGCACTGGCTATTTGTCCTTGTAAATTCCATCGCTGTTTGTTCTCCTTGCAGTGCTTCCTGTCCCCTTTCTTTGAGCAAATACCTTCCCATTGCATTATGTTTGTGCTTGTTGTCCCTACTGAGTGTCCTTCGTCAATTTTATTTTATGTACATCTGTTCCTATCATTTCTTCGTTTTTGTTTGTCCATTCCCCTCCCTTGCCCATTTTGTTCCTCCATTCCCCACTTTCCTCCATTTGTTTTCTTCTGTGTTTTTTGTCCATTCTCTCCCCTTCCTTCGACCCCCACATCCCTTTCCACAAGAGAATCAGAAGGCCCTTGAGTTTTTTTTTTTGTGTTGTTTTTTTTTACGATGACAAATCAGATGCATTATGTGGGCTCAAAGTGGCTCAATATATTACCATTTATTGGTAATAAGTCCTGCAAATTGGTATGTATTTTCACTGTTTATTTGGAAAACATTTGATATATTCTTTGGTGATGGAATGCATCTCTGGAATTTACTGACCATTTTTGAAAATTCCATTAAAAAAAACAAAAATATAACAAGGTGGTTCTTGATATTTGTGTTAACAGTTCAGTTATTAGAATACAAGATTTAGATTCTTGTCTAATTTATATTAACTAAAATTAGAATTTAATTTATCTATATAGAAGTAACATTTTTCTGGTTTCTTTATTATGTACGTGATATAGAATATAGAATGTCATAATTGGTGAAGACTGAGGATATAATATAGACTGCTTAGACCTGATGAATTTCATTAATAGGCACTGGTATTTGTTGCATGCATTCAGTTGAAGGGTATAATATATATATATGATTAGTACCAGTGACCACTAACATTATTTACATACAAAATAAAAATATTCATTTGGTTCACCTTAACACAGATTATGACTTCAGCAAACATAGTTTCTTGGATATAAATGGTTACATAAGTCATAGTGTACAATGTGTACACAGTACAGGTTGATTACTCATATGCTTATACACATCTCATAATTTAATATTCATACCTTTGTTGTTGGACATAAGTAGAGGATATTCAGACCTATAGTTGACTAATGCAAAAAATTGTCAGATTCATGGGACTATTTGAAATGAAGTGGTTCAGAGTCTGTTACACTTAGTTACACAGTGAAAACATTGAAACATTCAAGATAAGGAATTTTTTCTGTCACTGTTAGATTTATTATTAGAATGAGAATGATGAGTAAAAAGTACTCTAGTGCCAAACTGCTGGCTAAAATGCTAATATTTATCATTGTTACACAGGTGAAGAAGAGCACCATGATTTGGAAAACAAAGAAGTTCCTCGGAAGAGGTAAGTTTCATTGCTTCATCTGTTTATATGAAAAGATAGGGAAAAGGAGAAAGAAAAGAAATGTCTTGAGGTAGTATAAACTGCACCCTAAGTGTAATGTAGGTGCATACTAAGTACAGCCACTATTTCAGAAACAGCTTTGCTGCATTTTTTAAAATATTAATGTAAAGGAAGATAGTAAAATACATGCCATATTGATTGTTTTGATTAATGTTATTTGAAAATCTATTATAGTGCATTGCAGAATCTGATTTTTTTTTACATTACTTTGACGGTTAATGTAAAGTAAATCATAACACTGAATTGTTTTGCACTGAAGAAAAATATATTACCTCCAGTAATTTTAGTAAAGTTAATATTTCTGCAGTAGGACTCTCTTAAGTAGTACTTATGGATCATAAAAGTTTACGAAAGATAACTCAGGATTTTTCTATAAAAAGAAGTAATTGTCCTCTCTTATCAATTCTCTTTGTATTCACATTTTACAAATGTGAATCTATATCAAATTTTATATATGAGACTCTACATTACATTATATTTATGGGGTAGAAAAGAATTATTCAATAAAAAACACTTTCCTTTCGGTAAATCTCTGTTCACCTCCTTCACATCTTACTAAGAGGGTCCACTCACTTGTTGAATGTAGTGATACATATGCATTTTACAGTTGGCAGCCTGATACAGCGTTTGCTGAGCATAAGCCAACTTTGTATTTGATAAGGTAACACATGCTTTAACATGAGACATATGAATCAGAATGAGAATAACACGTTTGTTTTCAAGAATGTGTTGATACGCATTTTATAATTATTTATATATTTTTTTACATGTTTTTGTCACAGCCAATAAATTGGAGACTGAGAACAGTGCTTTGATATATGACCCTTGATTTTGACATTGCAATATCACTGTAGCATAGCAACATAATCTGTTATATTATAGTGCTTATTTATAGTGTATAGCTGAATAGTTTTATATTATATTTCCTTTATCAATTATCTTAGAATATCTGTTTAGTTGCTTTGCTTATTTGATATTTGTAGTCCCAGTGTATGCATCACAAGCCATTTTGCAATTGGTTTGGTGGTTCATATCATTATTTTTTATTTGTACTTATTTGCCATTAAAACTTTTTAGTGTTAAAAAAATGCCAGCTGTTTGCCGATTTTGGCTTTAAAAATATGTGGATAGATATATTTTTTCCTTTAGTGTTTATTACATGAATGGTTTCTAGTTTGTTAGATAATATAGATGTAGTGAATTTTATGTTAATTAGTGTGGAATAGCATGAGCATGATTTTGTTGTTTGTTAATACTTTTGGTACATACAAAAAAAACAAATAAAAACAAAAAAGAGTTTTGGCTATTGACTCGATACTAAACCCAATAGATTGGTCAAGTCTCACTTCACTCTCACTGATATCAGTAGATTTTATGGGCCACAATTATATAATATAGCAACATTAATTGCTGTATTATGTTCCTCATACAATAGAAGCAAATTAAGATTTTATTCATTTTGAGGATTTTATACCGCTCGTTATCTGGTTGATTACTGTATTCTACTTTATATGTATTTTTTTCGTTTTAGGACGTTACACATTTCTCACTAAAATCACAGTGTATTTTGCTTTATTTAAACTGAAAGAAAGGAAGAGGAAAAGTTAAGCTTTTAGAGTTTTTACATAAAAGAAAAAAGAAGAGATGTGTAAGAGTTTCATGTAATGGAGACATAAGTAATTTTTTGTGTAAAGTTAAGGAAATATGTAATTATTATTTGTAAAAGATGTATACATTTCTTGTAGTTATTCTTAGTAAAATATATACTATTTTTTTCTGTAGTGGGGCTAGCAAGATGAATCTTTATTTAGTTTATATATATTAAAATTTTTATTTCTTTGGTAGATGTAGATTGTTCTTAAATTAGTCTTTTATTGTCAGTGAATAAACCTGATTTTTTTCTGGTAGTTCTTGATAGTTGTGGATAGACAAGGAAACCATTAACTTCTCTGTAGCTGCAAAAACTGAACTATTGTTTTTTTATTTTCCGCCCAAAATTGTTTATTCTTTTAACTATAGTAGAGATAATGATATAAATGATTGAATCATATGATCATGCAGGCGAAGCCACCGTCGCCGTCGCGACTCTGTGGAGGATCCATCCTGGCGTCGTCATGCTGGAAGCGAACATGAACTGCAGACATATGCTTCCAAGGCCATTCATGAGGAGGTGGACTATCTCAAGGAACATGATTTGGATGACATTGCAAGTAAGTTTTTTATTATTATTATTGTTATTTTTAGTTGTCTATTTTTATTTATGTATACATCTTTTGTGTCTTTTTGTTACCATTTCGTTACTCTGTCTTGGCCTCTCTTTCTTTTAGTCTCTCCTCCTTTCTGCTCTCTCTCTTCTCCCTTTCTCTCCCTTCTCCCTTTCTCTCCCTCTCTCATCTTGTCCATCCAGTTTCTTTTTCTATTGAAACATTAAGCACAGTTAAACTGGCTAGTTTCTACAATGTTCATTTCAGAGATGGTAGAAAGCTTAGTTGAATTAAAATGTAGGAGTAAACAGTGCATTGGATACCAGTGCTTT